CTTGCAGAACACCTTGTTGGTGTCCCACAACTGCCGCGTCCAGCGTTGGTGGGTTGCCGCAGAGAGCTCACCCTGGTCGGTGTCGTTTTTGGCGAAGAACAGGTGCTTCTTGTACCAGCTAGCGCGTGTGCTGGTGTCGACCGGCGGAATGAGGCGGACGCCGTGAAACTGACCGATCTGATCGAGGACGAAGTGCAACCACAGGCCCGTCTCGCCGACGGCGCACAACTCCGCTTCGAGGTGCCGCGCGGCGTAGCTCTGCTGCAGACGAGCATCCTTGGACGTCTTCGAGTTCCGCGCTCCGATGACCATGACGACCGGCTGGTTCTCCGGGTTGATCGAGGAGGTGCTCGCCAGTCGGTACAAGAAGATGTCGGGGAGAGTGATCTCGCGGATGCTTGCACCGCGCAGGAGAGAGTGGTGGGAGAGTAGCGTGAGCACCTTCAAGAGAAGAAACCTCCACAGCGTCTGCGAAGGACCCGTACCCCGCGGGTTCCACGCCTTGGCCGCCCACGCCGGCAGCACCCTGAACATGATCTGGCGGAACTGTTCGGCGGTGTAGGTATCGCCGATGGTTCCGCGACGGCGATCGGCGCAGTTCCTGCCAACAATGCCATGGGCAAGGGGTATTTAGGGCGGCGTCGACAAAGATCATGACAGCAGGAGAGTGGTCGACGTAGGTTAAAACATAAACTCACTTGATGTCCCGCTCGTTCTTGGTGCGGATCATGTACCGCACCTCCGACCTGACCACCGATATCTCCCTCATGATGCTCAGTTCCGTCTCCCGGAAGAGCGTCGCCTCCACTCTCGCCGCCATCTGGCATGCCTTTATGCGCCCGAGGAGCGTGTGTACCGTTGTCGACTGCACCGGCTGTGTTCCTGTGGCGTTGTCGGCCCCCTTGCCGGACTCGGCATCGAGGTTCAACTCCCGAATCATGTACTTCACGTATGCGCGAAGCCGGTCCTTGGTGACCCTAGGGCCGTGCAGCCACACGTGAGACCGGGGGACATCGGCCTCTTGGTCCCAGTTTTTCTTCTTGTTCTCCCGGATGTAGTGCCCTATCTCGTCGACGTGCTTAAGCCTGTACTCCTGCGGAAGCTTGTTGCGAATTTGCTTCAACATCTTCGCCGCCCACCTCTTGTAGTGATAGATCCACGAGGTGTACTGCCTCAGCGTGCTGTTCCTCTCCACGGTTTGCAGGTGGCGAAGAGCGTCCATGACGAGCACGTCTACGCACGCGTAAACCATGTCCTCCTCGACGAAGTCTGCCGCTCTCCACTGTTCGCGCGGCACCGCCAAGTTCTCCTGGTCCTCGTCCTCGTCCTGGTCGAGCAGTATGTCGATGAATTGCAGTTCCCGCCTGAGTCGTTCGTCCAAGGTGCGCGGATTAGAGCTACGAGGTGGACGGTCGTCGTTTTCGTCATCGCTTTCCTCCTCCTCCTCCTCCTCCTCCTCCTCCTCCTCCCTCCTCCTCCTCCTCCTCCTCCTCCTCCTCCTCCCCCCCCTCCTCCTCCGCGTCCTCGTCATCGACCTGGTTTCCAGGGGCGGCCGGTGCCGACGAGGTACCTGGCCGACCATTTTGCGTAGGAGTCTGTTTTTTCTTCTTGTTGAACTTCCCTATCGGCGGTGGCGGAACGTCCGTGGTGAACACCCCTTCTGGGATCTGCGTCAGCTTGTCCAGATCGTAGAGTAACTGCAGGTTGTCTTCGTCGGTAGGTGTCGGACTGTGGTCGGTGGATGTCGGACTGCGGTCGGTGGTCGTCGGACCCTGGTCGGTGGATGGCCTAGCGTCGGACATGTCGACGTCGGCCATGTCGGTACACGTCTGCTGCTCTACCGTCGTCCGTGTGCGTTGGGGAGGTTGTTAAACCACTGCCGGTACTGAGTCACGGGCGTCGACCTCGAGATCGCGGGGGGTGGTAAACCAGAGACGGTACTGTGTGACGGGTGCGGCGAACGCGCGAAGCGTCAGGCGGTCTTCGTCTTCTTCGAATTCTCGCTCAAGCGCGTCTAACTCGGCTTCGAGTTCAAGCTGTTCCAGCTGCGCCTTGATGTCGGCGTCTACCGAGTCGGCGGGGGGTGGGATGGGTTGCGGCTGTTGGGCCCTCGGGCGACCTCTGGCCATGCGTCGCCGACTTGCTACGTCGACTCGCGACGTGGAACCTGTGCCGACTTGGACGAACAATCGGCTGTCGAGCAACCTACAGGCGCGATGACAGACTGGCAGCTGAAAATTCTAAGGGAACGAGAGAGCAGGAAGGAACGCAGGAACGGACAAGCGAATGAGCAGGCTCGCGGGGCAACGGACGGGTATGGTCCTGAGCGACTACGATGCTGCCGCGCGTCACGCACACCCCAATGCATCCGCCGCCGTGCATGTGTTCTCGTAAAGGCGGCGCACTGTCCGATTGGCACGTGCCAGGCATGGCTAGCTGGGCGCCGCGCTGCACGGAAGGGGCGTAAGCCAGTGCCATTCCACGTCGGAATGGGCGTGCGTTACGCGGCTTGCGACCGCCATTGGCGCCCCAGTGCAGAAATTAAGGCAAGCAGACATGGATCTCCCGGAGGCCCGGGATGACTCAAGCACGGCGTGGCAACCATGCCGTGGGGGGCCTATGATCGGCGCCGACTTCCACTCGGCGCGCTTGGCAGAGAACGTGCCGTGTGGCCGGGTTTGTGTGCCTTGGGATGATCTGGTCGACACCGACTTCCCTGGCAACCCGCGATGCCACAAGACAGTGAAGATGTGGACGGTCCGATTTGCGCCGCGTGGGTTTGCACCGCTAGAGCGACGCGTGGCCACGACGCCCACGTCGTGGCAGCCTTGTAATCGGTGGGGCGGGTCTCGCACCTCCCTATTGGTCCGCGTGGAGGCATCCGCGGCTCGACGTGGCGAATTTTGTCCGCTGAGATTTCCTTCTCAGGAATCTCCCAGCGCAAACGGGTGTCGTCGGATTGTCGACAATCCCGAGGGCTCCCGAGGCCCCTGGGACGCCATTTGGGCCCGTCTGGGAGCTCGGAGGTCGTCGGGAGGTCGTCAATCCCGAGGGGGGGCCTTGTCCCTTTTGAACCGCGAATCTGGACGGCACTTTTCGTCCGCTGAGGTATATCATTCCGTAAATATTCACCGCTTTGGGTGTACCCATAACTATTTCTGTCGAGTGCTTCGTCTGCTGCCAAGGGCCTTCCTCTCATTTCTTCAGCCCTTCCCTTCCACCCACCCCTACATTGTTCAAAAACCAACTCCCACCCGACCCTACTTCCGTTCAGCTATTCGCCACTCAAGACTCAGCTTTAGCGAAAAGCATTTTCCTTCAAGGAATGAGCGGAGGAGCAGAACAAACGAGACATATGTGCGTCACTATGTGAGATTAAGGGGCTCCATCAGGATAACGTCATACCTACAGTATCTCGTTGGACCTAAAAAACCTTCGCACAATAGCGTTCTTTCCGCATACATTAGCTCAAAATCACATATATCGTCCGTCTTATTCCAGTTACCATGCATCCCTCATACCTCAATAATCTGTCAGATGACCACCTCGTTTGCATCTTCTGGCACTCCAAGAACGATGCTCCAGTTCGCTGCCAATTCAAAGACCGTAGATTTCATCCATCGGTTTACATCATGCCTCGACCAATGTACTCCTCCGAAAGCCCGTACGGTGACCACCTCAGCCCCTTCGAAGCATCTTCGTCCCTATCCCCCCTACAAATAGTAATAGTCCTACACCGTTGTCGGCTCCTACCGTTCTTACAGATCCGGCTTACAACCTTCTCATCGCATCCGTTTGCAAGCGCTGGCGTCGCGGCTTGCCGCCAGGTCTCAATGCTCCTCGTGAAGGAAAACATCGTCGTGTCGCTTCGAGATCTCACCGCCGCCATCAAGTGCTTCCCGAACCTCTCTTATCTGCACCTCAGCGACAACATCGCGGAAACCATCAACGACGCGTTCCTCTGCCTCCTCTCTTCCGCGTGCCCTAAACTAGTGTCGCTGCACGTGTGGAAGGAGATCGCGCCGACGGCGGAACATGAGAGTGAGGACAAGCACCCGGTGACCGAGGCTAGTTTGCACCGCTTCCTGCGTCGCTGCACTCAGCTGCAGCACCTCTCTCTCTACTGCCTGCGTCGGTACTGCAAGATGACGGATTCTCTCTCGCTCCTCACAAACCTATGCACCATCGCTCTTATCGACGCCTCGCCTCTCGAGACTCAAGGGTTCACGAACTTGACTTCTCTCACCGCCCTCTCCCTCGACATTCCACAGCAGGCAGATCCGAATCTCGTTAGCCTCGCACACCTCCCGGCGTTCACCACCCTAGCATTGTTAGGCAGCTCATGGCTGGAACTAGGATGCGGAGGCTCTCAACCCTTCTCGTTCACCCAACTTCCATGGCTGAAAGCGGTCGATTTTGACGTGTGCAGTCCGCAGTTGGAGCTGATGTTTCCATCGGAAGTTCAGCCGTCTCGAGCGGCTAGTTCTTAAAGGCTGCGGCGAGATGGGCTGTCTTCCTGAGGACATCGGAGAGCGACTGCCATGACTTCGGCTTCTGAGCTTATGGGGATGCGAAGATTTGTTCTGAGCGGCCAGACGAGTTCGCTTCCCTAAGCTGCCTGCGTGAGCTGACGATTTTTTCGTGCGATACTATGGTCAGCCTGCCCGGAAACTTTGGAGAGCTGCCCGCTTTGAAAGTGCTGACGCTGAACCATCTGCCAACTTTGGAGTCTCCTAGATTTATTCTACTAGCTGACGTCTCAGGAAACCTTGTACCTGTCTTATTGCAATGCAATGTTTGAGCTGCCTGCAAGGTTTGGTTCCCTCACCGTACTCAACACTCTTTGCATCCTTAACTCCCCGCACTTGAAGCTCCCAGACGACATAGGCGCACTCACCAACCTCCAAACCTTCCGTCTAACGGAGAATCTCCCCCACCAGCTGTTGCCATCGTCGTTCACGCAGCTGTCGTCCCTCACAAGGCTCGAGCTCACTGAGTGCATGGTAGCACAACTTCCAGAAGACGTGGGGAAGCTGAACAACCTGCGGGTGTTCATCATCCAGTCTTGCTCCAAGATTCAGAAGCTTCCAGATTCTCTCACTGGTCTTGTCAACCTCAAGGTTCTGCAAGCCGTGGACTACGACAAACTCATTTCAATCCCCATCTTGAGCAACCTGGGAAGGCTGAAAGAATTGGCTCTAGCCAAGCTCCCACAGCTACCACAAGTATCAGCATCCCTGCCGTGCTCTCTCGAGATTCTCTCCATAGGGAGCTCCCAGCGGCTCGACCCTCTGCTGGAGCTTCCTTCTCTGCCCAGGCTGAGAAATATGAGCTTAACTATTGTTGGGCTCGTGCGTGGGCTGGCTGCAGGCATGTCCCTCTCTTTTCTGGAGAATCTAGAGCTAACATTGGATGGAGAGGCAAAGGACCTTACATTGCCTCTGGAACTTCTTCCTAGCCTCCGCAGCTTGACAATCCACAGCGCTGGTTGCATGAGGTTGTCTCCGGAAGGGTTAGGTTCGGCCTTGCGGCAGCTAAGGCGGTTGCTGATACAGCGGGTTGCAGAGTTAACGAGACTGAAAGATAGTTTCACGGACCTGCAATCCCTTACATTTGTTGAAATCCATGTGCCTAAGCTCTCCTCTGTTCCGGACGGCATCGGGGCGTTATCCCGTCTGCCCCAACTGAATCTTGAAAACTGCTCATCGCTCACCCACCTCCCTACTTCTCTCACCCAGCTTTCCTGCCTCCATGAATTGAACCTTCGCTGTGCCCCGATACGCTCTCTGTCTGTTTATTTGGGTCAACTAAGCCGGCTGAAGGAACTCAACCTGGATGGCTGCACTCAGCTAGCTGCTCTGCCTCAGGATTTTAGCCAGCTCAAGATGCTTCACAGCTTGACTGTTGTGGGGTGTCACGAATTTGAAGCTGAAGACATGGAAAACATGTATGGGTTGCGTGCATACCCATAGTGTGAAAGGTGTATGGGGTGGGAAGAAAATGCTTACATTTTTTAGAAAGGAACAGGCTGGGCTGGGTCCCTGGTTGCTAAAATTTGCTAATGGTACCACTACCGTGGATATACCCAAGCTGATATCATTGAATGTTTCAACAACTGCACTGCTTGGGCCAAGGATGCAAATGATGCCAAAAGGATACTGCACACTCATTTGATGTGCTGAGCCATATCACAAAATATTTAGTTTGAAAAAATTGGATCACGGCAGGGCTGACGCTACTAGACTAAATACTCTGATTAGTGTAACGAATCAGACTGTCTCGGCACTGAAAATGATTTTTTTTTTTTTTCAGATTACTTGTTTTCCTATCCCTGGTTAAGTCAGAGTGATTGTTTTAAGGCTCCTGCTTACTTTTTATGTGCTTCAGACTTAACCGATTTCGAAGCATGACACTACAGAGGATTGTTTTTGTGGTGCATGAATGCAAGTTTATCGTAACGAAACTTCCTTGAAATTTCCTCTCGATACACCCGCGTGTGTACGAGGGTACACCTGATGCTCGTTTGAGTCACCCATGGTTGCCTTGTGAAGAGGGCGCTTAAGTGATTCTTGCATTTTGCAAACCTTTCGTTCATTCGCAGCTAGCAAAAAATGATTCGTTCGTGCTTATACATATATATATATATATTTTGTAACCTATCCGTTGACATTTGACTTCAGTCTCTTTAGTTTGACATCGGTTTCTTCATTACTATTGGTTTAGAATCACTGCAACTTGCGCGAGGTCCTTGTAACTAGGGTGTGTTGAGATTAGAACGAGAATGAGGAGCCATAGCTAGGAAAACCCTAGCTAGGCAAGAGAGAGTTTAGGCAAAGAGGGGTTTCACTAGCAGCAATGAGGATACATATAGCAAACCCTAGATGGGTTGTACTCGCTATAGAGCACCCCACTACAGGCTAGAGAATAACATTCTGACACACCCCCATAGCCAAAGTGGGGTGGAATCAGTACAATGAGCAAGCACAGAGCAGGTTCACAAGGGCCAGCAAAGCTAGAGGCATTCACAAAGGGCAAGTGAGGAGGAGGAGAAACTGTGGGAGGAGAGGAGATAAGAGGCGACGGCTGAAGCTGCAGACACACGGGCAACAGGAGTCACACTGGCACAGTGGCTACCGGAACAGCGCCCCGGACTACAGGAGTAACTGGCTCCGCGGCTAAGTGCGGCAGACGAGCAACGGACCCACGGGCGACTGGCGCAGCTGGCTACGACTGGGCTACCGGAACAGCGCCCCGGACTACAGGTGCTGCTGACGACAAGACGGCAGCCTCCGCTCAACCTCCCCCGACCGTCCCACCCCCTTTTCACACACCCCCTGTTCAAACCCTAGCTCCACTCCCACGTCACCCCCCTAGCACCACTCCTTCGGCTCCCACACACCCACCCCCCTCAGCGGCAGCTGCAGCAGCGGGAGACGGAGGAGGAGGAGGAGCAGGGGACGGAGCACACAGCCAGCACCCCCATAGGCGCCACCCCCACACTCGCCACCCCCAAACCCTAACAGAGGCAGAATGGGGGGGGGGGGGGGGGGGGAGGGGCGATTCGGGGGCGATTCGGGGGAGGGCGCGCGGCTCCCCAGGGCGACGCGACGGGGCAGCGGGCGGGGCGCGCGCGGCCTCCCAGGGCGCCGCGACGGGGCAGCGGGGGGTCGCGCGCGGCTCCCCAGGGCGCCGCGACGTGGCTGCGGGGTCGCGCGCGGCTCCCCAGGGCGCCGCGACGAGGCAGCGGGGCCGCGCATGGCCCCCCAGGGCGCCACGACGAGCGGGGGGGGGGCGCGCACGGCTCCCCAGGGCGCCGCGACGGAGCAGCAGGCGTCGCGCGCGCTTCCCAGGGCGCCGCGATGGGGCAGCGGGGGCGACGGGTGGGTCTGCTGCAGACGACGGGCGAGCTGCAGCAGGCGACGGGAGGGAACCGACGGGGGGAAACCGCCGCGCGCCCCGGGGCGCACGGCGGGCAGGAAACCGCCGCGCGCTCCGTGCGCACGGCGAGCAGAAAACCGCCGCGCGCACGAGCGCGTGGCGGGAAGAAAAATCCGTCGCGCGCCACGGGGCGCGCGACACAGAGAACAGCAGCGGAAGCTGTTAGGTGGGCCCACAGGCCAGGAGCGTGACCGCTCTGATAGCATGTTGAGATTAGAACGAGAATGAGGAGCCATAGCTAGGAAAACCCTAGCTAGGCAAGAGAGAGTTTAGGCAAAGAGGGGTTTCACTAGCAGCAATGAGGATACATATAGCAAACCCTAGATGGGTTGTACTCGCTATAGAGCACCCCACTACAGGCTAGAGAATAACATTCTGACAGGGTGCAACTGGCTGGTAGAAAAAAACCGGGTGCAGGCTTTCCAAAAGGTGCAGACCAAATTCGTGTGCAGCGGTTGGGCATCATGTGTAGTACTAACGATTTCCTTCGAGAAAATTGCACGAGTAGGGGCACCAGAATACACTTCTTCTTCGACGCTATCACGAGTGTTGAGTTTATTGGGAGCTTATAAAAACCATCGAATTGTGAAACTAGATAGCGAATCACACATGGCCAAAACTATTTTAGCAAATCACACAAGGTCAAAAGCGAATCGGTGCAAACGAAAGCCTTGTCACATGTGAGTCTCATACTTCAGCGAAATCGCGCTTCATTTCCCCGCGCCAAAACGAGTCAAAAATACCAAGCCACAACTTCAGGACGTGTCACCTCCCTTGACCGATCCTGCTCAGGATCGATTCTTTATTCGGTTTAGAAAGAGATTAAACAGTTTTAAAAGCAGCACTCGAGGTTTTAGTGCTGTGGACGATCGATCCTCCTTGATTTTGCACGATCGATCGAGGGAGGCGACGCATCCTTAGAAGAAAATGTTTCGCGCACATACGGTGTAAAGTGTTGAAAACTTCTACTGCTGCCAGCGCGCCCAGTACAGAAAAGTGCCGAGCGACACCCTGCCTGCTGCCAGGTCAGCTGATTGTCAACTTGCCACACTTGGCACTAGCACGAGGCCATTGTCTGATGCCGACACCTCGACCCAGACTGCTCAAAGTTCCTAACTTTTGAAAAATGACCAATCAGAGTGCCCCATTTCTGGCCGAAGTGCCTTCATACTAAAAAAAAAAAAGTCGAAACATCATCCCTGGATCAGGGTGTCCCGGTCTCATCATCCGTTGCTCTCGGCTCCTCTAGAAAGATTGGTTGTGAGTCAAAAAGGGGAGCCGTAGCGGGAGAAGGGTTAACCACACATAATTCCTGGAGCAGGTGCATGTTCTTGACCCCTCGAAAGATCATTGCCTCTGCATGCCTGTCGACCTAATACTGCAAGAAGGAGCAGCACATCAAGTCGCCAAGACTGTCATCTCCCAGACCTCCCCTTGCCCATGTCTTGATGAGATTCTGTTTTAAAAAACGCACGCTCACACTCGACAATGCCGAACGGGTAGCTACGCTGCCACTCGTTGTCGGTGTCAGATTGAGAGCTTGATGAAATTCATTGTCACTGTGCAGCGATGCCATTGTAGCAGTGAACATCAACAGCCCCTCTACTGCCTTCTTGAAGTTGAAGTCTGTGTATGAAGAGTCAACAACAAAGAGGACGGTGTTGGGTAGGAAAGGTGATATGACTGTCAGAATCCCAGCCACTAACCACTGGGATAAAAGGGCTTGTTTGTGTAGCGGGTGAGTGCGCACATAAACCCTAGGCCAACGTGCTTGTAACCCTTCCCTAGGATCAATCGAGGATTTCCAGTGGACCTCTGCCCCCCCCCCCCCCCCCCCCCCCCCCCCCCCCCCGCACTGGGATGTCCGAGGTGCACACACTGGGATTCGAACCCGAGACCTTCGCTCTAATACCATGTCAGAATCCCAGCCACTAACCATTGGGATAAAAGGGCTTGTTTATGTAGCGGGTGAGTGCGCCCATAACCCCCTAGGCCAACGTGTTTGTAACCCTTCTCTAAGATCAATCGGGGATCTCTTGTGAACCTCTGACAATGACATGCACGACAAGGTAACTACAACTTTTCAGTACGCACTCATGCTTATCAGGCAGCTCATTATTGAACAAATCTGCCAGTTAATGCGGCCACTATTTGAATCGTGCCATGCGCCTCTCGTCGTTGCTAAGGTATCCTTGAAGGTTTTCATCCTCCCCAGGTTTCTGAGGTCTTTCATCTGAAACCACAAGTTGGCAATCACCGCCTTTACGTACTGCGTAGCGAGGGTGCAGCACGATGTGATGCCGCTACCGGTAGAGTGCCAATCGAGCATTCTCTTGTGCAGCACATACTTGAATCTTTGAGGCACGACATCATAATTGACACTGCCATAGCGTGCCCGCTGACTCTATGGTGCGCTGTGCTTCAGCAGGAACTTTCCCAACATTGGGCTGTCCCCATTTTTATAGAGTATGCCGCCCCCGAAGTTGATGTAGCAGTACTTCAGTCGGTTGCATGTGTTCTCTAACAGAGCTAAAACGGCTGTGAAATCTACCTGAGGCTACGGGAGGCAAGGAGGTACAAAAGAGAGAACCAGTCATGTATGTGGGAAATGAAGGAGTCAAACATAGAGCACTTGCGTGAAATGACATAGACATTGCGATGTGTTGAAGGGCTTATCTGCTACTGTTAGAACCGCATGTTCAAGTTTTTCAGCCCATCCAGAATGTCTGCTAAGAAAAACAAAATCAAGTAGAGCTTGAATAACGTGATGGTTTTGTAAAGTCCACTTTGGTGCTCACGTAGGACCACAATTACAGCTGGAAAAATCTCAACAAAACACATGACGGCATCGCCTTTTGATAACCAGCGTATGGCATGGATCCTCTGAACCTAAAAGTTGGTGTAGCAATACATTAACCGGAAGTTCTTGAACAACTGGTGCTTGACGTTGGATAGCTCAATGGTGTTGGCGAAGGCACGGATGGCGATGTCAATGACGTACAAGTCTGGTACAGCTATCGCAGGTCTTTCTCGG